AATCATAGATGCACAAAATAGGATAATAATGTCCAATTCATTCTACTATCATTCATACCCCTATAATCCCTCCCCTCCCTTCACTTCCCTCTGTCTAATCCAAAGTATCTCTATTCTTCTCTCCAGCCCCCTATCCCCTTATTATGAATTAGCATCCACATATCAGATAAAACGTTCTGCCTTTGGTTCTTTGGGATTGCTGATTTTACTTAGCATGATATTCTCCAATTCCATCCATTTACTGGCAAATGCCATGATTTAATTCTTCTTTAAGGATGAGTTTTACCAAGTTTTAGTATTATGACAAAAGTGATTTTGTGTATAGAAAATCAAGAAAGAAAGAATCAGAGTATTAGTGACACAAATATTTGCAATTGGAATGCCTTCATGCCACACTGTCTCCAAATAGTTTTTGTAATATAAAGAGGAACTATACCTACATGAGGATGAAACTTAATCATTGAGATAAATTCAAAAAACTATCAAATGCCAAGCAACAAAAGACAAAAGAAATTGCAATGAGAAGCTGGTATGACTAATTAATGGATCATAAAAACTGAAATTAAAGTGCATGGCTTGTTTGTTTCAGATTAGTGCCCCATATTGTGCTTGCTTGCTTGTTTTTTCTTTTTTAGTGATATGGAAAATAATAATGCATGTTAAAATCAGTGGCATCTTGAATTTTATGAAATATTGGCAATAGGCTCCAGTGTGTGTGTGTGTGTGGTGGGGGGAATCACAAGAAGTCAAGTACATATATTCAAGGTGCAGACTTGACTGATTCATCACTAGAATTTTTTATTCTTTTATCCTCTGCCAGAAACTCTAGGAATAGTTGTTTCATTGCTAAATTGTCGAAAGACTAACATAGACATTTGAGTTTGGGGAAACAATTCTGATTTTGAGGAAAATGTGGCTAGGCATATGCTCTGAAAATTCATTTCAAGGAAGTGATTCCAAGAGCTTCAAAGGAATTAACACTAATGAGTTATTTATTTTCCTCTAGGCCAAAGCATATAAATGTGTGTGTGTATGTGTGTGTGTATGTGTGTGTGTGTATTCACTTTTTTCAATCAAGGGAACTTTCCCTATATTTTTCTAAATATGTTTCAAATTTGTCAAATTAAACATATATTCTAAAATTATAATTTTAGAACTAAAAGAAGTGAATGATTGTTAGTGTTTCTTCAAGATCTAGTTCCATTTTCTATATTGGTGTCTCATTGAATGGCTTTGATGCTGAAGCCCTGTGTATATGTATGTGTATGCAAGGTCACGTAGTTCAGTAGTGGCATAGCCAAGACTGGAGTCTTTTGGCTAAAGAGTCATTGCTTTTTCCAGTATCCCAAATTGTCCCATAATATATTAAACATGAACAAGATACTTAATGTAGCATTAAGTATCTTGATGTGATGTGACTTCCTCCTCCTTCTACCCGAACCCCACACTTTCAGAACTCAGGCTTTCATTTTCACATTTGCTGAAAATGTTGGCAATTGATAGCTCTCAAGAATATTCCTCTCTAGAAATTTCTCTGGGGGAAAAAAAGAAAAGCTATTCACCATAGGGAATTCCCCTTACCAGAGTCCACAGTAGTTCAGTAGCAGGTTGACTTACACATATAAAATTCCCACCTACTTGGGATGCCACTGTAGCTCAGTGGCAGAGTGCTTTCCTAGCATGTGTGAAGCACTAAGTTTGATCCTTAGCATCACATAAAAATAAACAAATAAAATCAAGGCATTCTGTACATTTACACCTACAAAAAAAAAAAAATCCCAACTACTTGCCTCAATTGGGGAGAACTATGAAGAACCATCCCAATTCAGACCTCCCTTTATCATCAATTGAGATAAGTTAATTTAATCTCACCCTCTGCCTGACTCTGCTTTCTTCATTCCTCCATAGGGGTTGGCTTAGAGAAAATTCCCAGTAAACTTTTTAGTAAGATCTGTTATAGACTTGTGTTCTTCGAAGCCAAACTACAATAATAAACATAAAATTATTAGAATATTCTAGAGAAAATTGCTTTCATTTTAAATTTAGATAGGAGTACTTTAAATTCTGAAGGATGAAATAAACACCTATCAAAGTAATTTCATGGTCTATTGGTCACTTTATATTGTTTTTGATATTATTATTACTGTGGCTGCTACCAAGATAAGTATGTTCAAGATATAATGTTAGGTATTTCTCACACAATAGTTCCTTACCTATTCAAAAAATTCAGTATAAAGACACAGGTATAAATATAAATCTTTCTTTCACAGATGAGGAAATTGGAAACAGGAAAATTGACTGACTTGCCATAGTCACTCAGTTAGAAAATGTGTGATTCTAGTTTTTTCTCCCATTGAATTTTAAGCTGCCTGAAGGCAGTATCTAGATCTCTTTTGAACAGAATAATTTCCAAGTATTTATGCAGTTCCTTCCCTTCAGTAGTAGTCAATAAATATTTGCCATATGAATAGGTTAATTAATAGTACAATCTTCCATCTCCATATGATTCCTTCACTTAATGGTGAACAAAACAGAGAACTTTATAAAAAAAAATCTATGTCAAATAGATAGGAATAAGTGATTTAAATATGTATTCTTCTTTAAAAATTGCAAGTGATATTTTTCACTTTCTGTGGTAGATTCTTGTGTATTTTGTAGGCACCTGATATAATATTTGAGAGCCCACTCCCTGTGGGCTTGAGTTATTTGATCTTTTTTTAACATGAATTTATTAAAACTGTATGTTCAATCTAATACATCCCAGAAGGGCTAAAACAATTACATAAAGAGAACAATGAACTGTGGTGCATGCCTGTAATCTCAACAACCCAGCAATTTGAGGAGAGTCACAAGTTCAAGGCCATCCTCAGCAATTTAACAAGACCCTGTCTCAAAATAAATAATGAAAAGGGGTTACAAGTGCAGCTCAGTGATAGAGAGCTCTGTGTTCAGTCTCCAGTAATAGAGGAAGGAAGAATGGAAGGAAGAAAGGAAGGGAGGGAAAAGAAATGAATTTGTCTCAAAATGTAATATTAGAGAAATGGATATGAAGTATCTATCTACCTTCTCAACTTTCCTAGGCGACATGGTAAAAAAAAAAAAAAAAAAAAGATCACCACAAAAATAAATAAATAATAGAGATGATAGATATGTTAATAAGTTTTATTTAAACATTTGCCTTTGTATACATATATCAAAACATCACATTGTACCCCATAAATGTATATAATAATGGTTTGAAAGTTAAAAATAATACTATTAGAAAAAGACATTTCACTGCTGGTGTTCTCATCATAGATTTACTAATGTCTCCTTTGTCCCCAAATATTTTTCTCATGATACTCTCAAGTAGTACCCATGATATGTCTAGCATTTGGCTGCAGAAACTAAACACAGGTTGATTAAGTATCCATTAGTAAAAAATTCAACAATTAAGAAAACATCTGTGGTCCTGTCACAGAGATGGAGAGAAATTAAAAGCTCACATTTCTAAGTAGGTCCTAAACCTAGAGTGCTGAAAATTAGTCATGAAGAAAAAGAAAGCTAATAACATAAAGAACCAATCAAATACAAATTAGTAGATGAGTGAAAGGAAGTCTAGTAGAGCAGAGGAAGGAGAATAGGAGAGGGGAGGGAAGACAGGAAGGGAAAGGGGGGATCATGAACTGAAATTGATTCCATGCATGTATGAGTTTGTTGGGATAAACCCAAATACTATGTATAACTATAAAGCTCTAATTTAAAAAAAAGAGTAAGTTACAAGTTTCCTTAACAATGAAAATTGAATGGAAATATTTTATTGCTCTTACCCCCAAGAAAATTTGCATAAGGAGTAAGAGAAGCTACTTCAAAAGATTCTCATGAAGATCCACTATGTAAAAACATTATCAGAATGCTAGACAAAATACACACTAAGTACATATTATGTATTATCATCACTAACAGATAACCTTTATTCAGCAAATGTTTGTTAAATGCTTGATATGTGCCAAGCATTGGGTCAGGAGATTAGATATTAAGGAAATTTGTTGACTGGAGATTGCGTTTTCACAGTAGAGTAGCAAGCATTTGATTACAAAGAGTCTGAAGAAAACAGAGAAAACAAAGATAATTTTAAGATGTCAGCCTGACAGGTACCTTTTAGTAAGAGGAAAATACTCAGGGAAGAGTAAGTTTCACAGTTTAAAATTAATTTTTTTGGTTTGATGTCAAATTAGTGATATTAATTATACTACAGTGATGGTGGCTGGATAAGCAAACTGGGGTCTAAGAAGAGATTCAATTTGCAGATTTTCAAGGGAAAAATGAAAATATGGATATTTTAAAATGTATGCCATTTGGATGTCAAGTTAGCAGAAATTTCCTCTGGTTCCTTCAGCATATGCTAGGTAGCTCCTCTCTCTCCCCCTACCTCTTTCTCTCAATTTTCTTCTCATTCTTTATAGTATAATATGTCTTTCACTTTTACTTCCACGTGTACAATGAGCCACCTAGCTTTAGTTCCTACCTCAATGTATTTTTCTAAACCAAAATACTGTAATCTTCAGAGGAATTTGAGTACCAGCTTTGACTCTGCCTCCTACACAGCATGATTCAATAAGCCATGTCTAACATGCATTTCTAGTAACACTCTGGGTATATACTTCAATAATGTACTTCAAAATGTAAAACACTAAGTCAACACAAAATAACTGCCTCATGCAATAATATTCATTACTTAGTAAAATAACCTATATTTTCAGATTATGCCTTAAAATTCAAATTTAGGAAATAAGATACATTAATTTCAAAATGCCTTTTATAGTAAATTAACCATTTAACCACTATATGTAGTAGTACTGCACAGAAAAATTTACTGTAATGGAAATTTCTACTGATGTTTTTCTCAACCTCAGAAAAGTTGAGGTTTTGAGCACCAAGGTATAAATACTACTCTGCATTCTATGTATACTATGAATGTGTTCTTAAAAACATCTTTCCCTCTCTGTATTTTATTCTAGGCTACATATCGAAATCGAATTGTGAGCCAAAGTCTCAGCACAAGGGACAGAAAAGCAATCCATACTCCCACCGAGGACCGTTTTAGATACGCAGCAGCCGACCAGACAAGCCCTTACAAAAACAAGGCCTGTCAACTGTCAAGTTTATGTTTCAGTAATTTCTTGAAAGACAAGGAACTAGCAGAAGTTATCAAACACTCCAGAGGAACTTATGAAACTCTCACTTCAGAGGTTACACAGAATTTACGAACCACTGTAGGGCAGAACTCCCTGAAGCCAACAGCTAAGACAGAGGGACTCTCCACGTTGTTAGAGAAACCAAAGGACCAGGCTGCTGTGGGCCGCCAGCATTCAACCTTTACAGGCAGGTTTGGACAGCCACCAAGAGGGCCAATCTCTTTACACATGTACAGCAGGAAGAATGTTTTTCTGCACCACAATTTACACACCACTGAGCTTCAGACTCTGGGCCAGCAGGATGGGTAATTAAGTCATCCTATTTGTGTCTCTGGGTAGGATAAAGATGGTTCACTTTTTTCGTGCATAGTTCATATTTAATTGTCATGTACTTTTTATTACATTTATTTTTAGTCATAAACAAAGACCCGTGGGATTTTAAAAATTATTTTTATTTTGAAGAATGAGGGTTTAAGCATGTTAATTGATTTAGATTGAATGGCCTTGAAGAATTTACTATGTATATGTATAATAAATGGGACCATCTTGCTGGTTTATATAGTCCATAATTTATTGATCTTTTATCTCTATCACTTACTGATGTGTATTGAGGCATTGAGGTTTCAGAAGGTAATATCAAATAGCACTCTGTTCACTATGTTGATGGTGTTACTGTAAAAATAGATATGAAGTATAAATAGGTAAAGGAATTGTAAAGAGTATTAAACTACATAGTTAATAGAAGGAGGAAAACAGAAGGATTTTTAAAGTCTTATATTTGGTGGTGTATTTATTTGAGGGATGAAGCTTGTTTGTAACCTAGAGATGTATTTGTCTCTATTACATACATTCAAGTTTGAAATACTATTGGCAGGGTGGGGAACTGTTTGTTTTATTCCTTAAATTTTTAATTTAGACTAGTTAACAAAGGATTCCAGACAGAGTAATTGTGAGCTAAATAGGGAATAACAGCTCTGATTGTCACAAAATTTTGCTTTCAGTTTAGTTATTGATATAGAAGTACCACAGTATAACATGGTGAGGTGGTAAATTCGGCTGAATTTTTAAAAAATGAATGGTTCATAAGGCATGACATCCCATGTTCTTTGAATCACTGTCATAAACATATCATCACATTTTTTAAAAATTTCAGGGATAAAGTATTCTAAGAAAAATATTCATTTGCTTCCCTTTTCTTGTATTTTTAAATGTGCATTTATTTTTATGTACGTTATTTTGCTTTATATATATCAACCCATAAGACTATGAATTGAGGAAAAGAAGGTGAATTTTTTATATCCTGGATACAATACTCTGACTGCAGTCATCTAGATTTAGTAAAGAAGGAAAATATATGTGAATTTTGGTAATTTGATCTTAGAAATAAACTTCTCACAGAAATATTTAAAACTCATTTGATGGTAAATATTTCTTTCTGACAAGTAAGGTCTAATATGTTGTATACTTAAGTGCACAAGGGATAGATCAATAAATCTAAATAAAATAATTTCATGTTTAATAGTATTAGAGCAGTATCAATGGTAGACATAAATGCATAAATAAGTAATTTTAAAAGGACAATTGGGAATCAGGGCTGCAGTTCTTTTATATAAAGATCAGAACTGGTAACTATATCCACATTAGGTAGAGTCCATGCAAATTGAAACTGTCATACCCGCTGCATGATCTGTTTCCCTTACATTCTCTAACAGACAAAATCCATCAGCATGCACAAATGAGATGAATAAAGGGAAATTGAGATAGCAGTTTTAGCATGGCATCTGACTAACCTGCTTAAATCAAAGCTATATGTGAAATGCATCTCCTAATATAAAAATGTATTTGAGCTCCAGGCTTTGGGGGGAAAACCATTAGATCCCCACTTCCCAGCTTTAACTTATTGAACTTTGATAAATTTTCAAACTTTGATTAGAATTGTCAGTAAGGAGTACAGAGAATATCTTGTACTTGTAATTTCGATTTTCCAAAGAAGACATGTACATCAAGACAAACATTTGTCAAACGTCTTCTTTCTTTGTATGTTTGCAATTCTGCCAAAAGAGAACAATACACATTGCAATTTGCTTGACTTAATGAGACTGCTGTCTAAAATTCCCACCATATTTTAGAAACTATAATACTGATGCAGATATACATTTGGGGCAGGAAAATATTTAAGAAATTATAGAAAAAATATAATATTAGTTGTGGAATTCAGCTTGATTTGTATTGAAAGTTCCTGTGTGTTGCTAGAATATTTTATACCTGTAAATAAATAAGCATGATAAAATAATCAAGGCTTTTTTTCCCAGGATATGGAAAAACTATGTATCACAAATAATGTTTTTGATTTGGACTTTTGGAGTTTATAGTTTTGTTTTCCTGGAATATAGACTTTTGAATTATACTTTGTAAAAAATAATCTATTTAAGAAAATCTGTCATTTAATAGACATTTTAAGAGATGTTTTAAACACTAGTATTTTCTTGAAAAATCTTTTTTAAAGCTGAAACATTCAAAAGAAAACCTGGACTAAACCGTTCAATTTTAAAAGGAGGGGTATTTTTTGGAAATATCATCTTAAAGCAGTTTTGTATCAGTATTTTCAGCATTGTTATAATATTATTTGTAATACTCAGTGTAACTCAGGCCTGGAGAAGGTGTAAGCCCACTGTGTTAATGTAGATCAGTAACTGTAAGACAGGGGTCTTTTCTAAGTTCCTCTTGTGTAGATAATATTCTGTCATAATAATGGCATGTGGGCATTCTTTCAGCAAACTGAAATCTTTGTACTAAAATCTCTAGTTTTCTAAGACAGTTCCATGTATAAAAATGATTTATACATCTCTCCAAGGCAGTACATATCCAAAGACATGACACCAGGGGAAAAAGTGCTTGTTTTTCTGATGAAGCAGTGGTCTTGCCTTTTCCTTCTTCTTTCTTTTGTGCATGTATATGTGTAGATAACCCTAAGTAACCCTGTAAAATTTCTGCTGCAAACTGTTTCTTCGAAACCCAGAATGTGTTTTAAAGGACAATTATGAAGAGACCTCCCTTGAAGGAAAGCTGTTTCTACCTGAAATAAACTATACACACTTTTGTAATGACTGGCATATGTCAATGGATTTCTTTGAACTCAGTGATTTTTTTTCAGATGATTTTATACACTAACAGCGTCACCATAAAGCTATGAATTATCTCTGAAATTATTTTTGCTTTTTTGGAACACCCTCATCTTTGTTCAAATGACACCATGAAATTGATGCTGTATTGTGAAAGATAGAAATTTACCAGGATCAGTATGCTCAGGGTAAGAGCCTAGAGATACAGGTTATTCAAGGTATTTCATATATATATACCGTATATATAGTATAATATATAACATATATAATAGTTATCTGACAGATAACATTAAACAATTATAAGCATTTACATATTTACATGATTTAAATTGTTTCTAAAGGTTTTCATACTTAATTGGGGGTTATGACCTGGGTTTTATTTGTTTTCCAATATTTAATCCAACCCATTGTATTATTTTCTCAGCATTGAGTTCTTATTGAATTCAAATTTCCCTTTTTGTTTTGTTCACCTGTATGCTCTATAGAGATAATACTGACACCCCCTCTCCCAGAATCTTTGCTTTCTTATCAGGTATTTAAGGACCATGTCCCTAAAATATTCGATCATATTCTATTAGCTTTCTAGGTACTTTCTTGATCATTTAGTTACTGAAACACCAGGAACAGTTATTGGATGGCAAGTGCTGTTTCTCTATGTCTCTGTCATGATTACCTTCCTCATTATCAAGGGATAGTAAACCATATCTGTGGTCATTTTTAATAATGGGCATAATCTTATAATCTCACAACATTTTTTAATAGTCTCAACCCCCATTTTTGTAATCTTGAACCACTTTTAGAAATTTGTATTCTGAAAAGCCATAGAAGGAGGAAGTACTTCATAATGTCCTAAGATCTCGTGGAACCAAGTATTTACAGTTGAACAGAAGAGGGGATGCACACAAATCTGGTGTCTATGATTATCACCCATGTGACTAAATCACATGCCCAATGTCTAGAAGAGTTTTCCTCACTAATGTATCTACTTAAAGGTAGCAATGATTCATTTTTAAAAGTATTTTTATTGCATTCTAACATCTGACTGTATTTAGGCATTATTATCAGTTTTTACATATTTTCATATAAACATATATATTTTTATATAAGAATATTTCAAGCACACCATGTTTTAGAAATTTGCTGCTTCTAGAATTAAAACTTTTTTTAAAAATTCTTGGCTTTTTTTCCCCCATGTTCTAACTTTGTCATGTCAGCTCTAGGCTCTATGTAATTGTTCCGCAGGGATGTTAGAATATATAAACTAGTATTTGTTTTTATCAAAAGATGAATTGCATTGTAGTATAATTGCAAGAAGTTAAGTAACCAAAAACCAAACAAAAGAAGTTCACTTCTCCGTTAAGATACATCACCTCGTCAAATCTTTATTTTTAATTTTTTTTCTTTTACCAAGTTGTTTCATCAATAGACAGAACTAAAAACATATCCATGGACAATTTGTTTATGATTCATTTAAAATTTTGCTAGAATCTAGTTCTAGTCTGAGGAGTACAGCACAAGTAAGAATAGCTCATCCTGTAGTTGCATTCTGTATGGAAAACAATGGAGGTAATCCACTTGTTCACTATGATCTAGAGAATTTCCCAACAACAACAACAACAAAAAATTAAGGTACAACAAAAATACTTAAATATACAGGGTCATTTTTTTCCATTTGAATAAATGATTTGGAATATAAGTGCAGTGATCCGGATATTCCCCAAAGGTTGTTCATATGATTGGAGATTTGATTTCCAGTTTCATATGAGATGGCAAGTACTGGGAGGTGCTATGGAAACTTTTAGAGATGGGCCCTAATGGGAAATCTGAAAGTCATTAAGGGTGTGCCCTTAAAAGGCAGTTCTCATGCACTTCTTATAAATGGAGCAAGCCTGGCCCATCAGCTCTCTGCTTCCTGGCTCAAGATGTGACCACTTGCCAAAAGCACACTCCTGCCATTACCATCTACCATCTACCATCTGCCATGGGGCTTTCACCTGATTTAAGCTGACATAGGTGCCATGCCATTGATCCCAAAACTGTGGCCTAAATAAACCTTTTTTCTTCTTAAGTAACTTATCTCAGGTACTTTACATTACAGTAATGAAATACTGTTTTTTTCTATGGCATTTTCAGTGTAGCCTCATAACTTCTCTAGTTTAATGTAATTGCCTTTTCCTCTTATAATTC